TTAATTATAAAGATAATATTAATAATAAATGTATGTATGGTTCTTTTCGTTTATATGCATTCGGTCAGTTTAACATTAAGATGGTCTCAAGGTTGTGTTGTGTTCATGCAGCTCCTTTTATGACTAATTCTTCCTATGTTTGAAACGCGGATTCTGTGGAACTGCTTGCTTGTCAGTGTGGTGGATCGAATCTTTGTGCTTCCGCTGTTTCATATCGTCGTTGGCGCTTAATGGTTTGTTGATTTTGAGGTTGCTCTTTAACATTTTGGTTCTTTCCTTTATCATTTTCCTCCTTGCTTCCATGTCCTCAGCTACTTGTTCCCCACTGCTGACGTCTACTCCACGCTTAGAGAGGCTGTTTTTGCGGGTGTCTTGGTACCTCAATTTCGGCCTTCCGTTTGGTCTTTTTCCCTGGGCAAGTTCTCAATAGAGAAGTTCCTTTGGAATCCGGTTGTCGTCCATTCTCTTGACATGGCCCAGCCATCTCAATCTTTTTAAACACTGGATAGCTGTCATTTTCAGGAGGTTTTCCAAGGCCAACACTTAAACATTGGTAACCTTTTCACGCCACGTGGTACAAGGTCCATGGTTCAAGTTCCATAAAGGAGTGTGCTGAGGACACATGCTTCATTAATCTTGATCTTTGTTTTGATCGTTTATCTTTTGGTTTCCGATACTTGTATTGTCAGCCTTCCAAAAGTTGTTGCTGTTTTCCCTATCCTGATGTTGTTCTCATTGTCAAGTGATGTTGTAGATGTGATGGTGGACCCCAGGTAACAGAACTTGTGCACTGTCTCAAGTTCCTAGTGGTTCAGCCAAATATAGCTCTGCTCTGCACCTTCTATAAGGATGACTGTTTTCTTAACACTGATAACCAAGCTGAAGACATTGCATGCTGTTGGTAATTGTTTATAAGGTTGATTCTCTGTGAGCAACAGGAGCATCATTGTTTAAGAAAAGGTCTCGCACTGTTGTTTTGTTGATCTTGTTTTTAACCCGGAGTAGAGCAAGGTTAAAGAGCAACCCATCATTTCTCCAGTGGAGAACAATAATAATAATAGTCATCATAATAATTACAATAATAATGATGATAATGATAATAATAACAACATAACATTTTTAAAAAGAAATCGCTTAAAAAAAAAAAAATTGTTGATAATGATAATGCTAATAATAATAATAATAACTGTGCTAGTAATAATAATAATAATAATAATAATAATAATGATAATAATAATAATAATAATAATAATAATGATAATAATAATTTTAATAATAAGTATAATAATAACAATGGTAATAATAATGATAATAATAATAATAATAATAATAATAATAATAATAATAATAATAATAATAATAATAATAATAATAATAATATTAATAATAATAATAATATTAATAATAATAATAATAATAATAATAATAATAATATTAATAATAATAATAATATTAATAATAATAGTAATACTATTTATTAATAGATCGTATTTTCTAGCGCATATGCCCGCTCAACAGCAAGCCAGGTACACTTTATAATTTCATTTATACTATACTGATAAAAGTACTACTATCAATACTTTCTTATCAGGTTGCGAGCACCATAAATCTTCTCACTTAACGAAACAGATACAGAAAATCATTCTCTCTCACAAAAATGTATGAATGTTTGTATGTGTGTGTGTGTGTGTGTGTGTGTGTGTGTGTGTGTGTGTGTGTGTTTGTGTGTGTGTATGTGTATGTGTGTGTGAGTTTGTGTGTGTGTGTGTGTGTGTGTGCGAGTTTGTGTGTGTGTTTGTGTGAATGTGTGTATATTTGTGTGTATGTTTGTGTGTATTTGTGAGCGCGGTGTGTGAGTGAACGTGTGTGTGTGTGTGTGTGTGTGTGTGTGTGTGACTGTGTGTGTGTGTGTGAGTGTGTGTGTATGTGTGTATGTGTGTGTGTGTGTGTGTGTGTGTGTGTGTGTGTGTGTGTGTGTGTGTGTGTATATTCTTGTATTTCTATACTTTTGCATTTAATAAAATTATTTACCGTATCTCAAGTGAGATATGATTTGTTTGTGCGAAATACAGACCTTTACTTTTGTTGTAAATACAATCTTGTATGTAATATAGGTACTTTATATATCACGTACATAAGTCAATTAATACTTTTACATAGATGCATAATTACTTATTTTTCAACTCAAATACGAGAGTGTTTAGTTTGTTTTCAACTGATACCGTACCTTGAACGAATGTTAAAAAAATACAATCAAAATCAAAGCAAAATAAAATACCAAAGAATGATTTGTGAGGCAGCGTGGTGGAATCAGGCTCTCGTCAATTTTTGGGCATGTAGAGTTATTAGTATCATCTTAAAGCTTGTTCACTTGTCTTTATTTGGATGGAAAAAAATACCCAATCATCTTGAATACAAGTCGAGATATTTGCGAAAGAAGGAGGTGGGGGTCACCTGTTTTCAAATGTAAAATTATAGGGAGAAAATGGCCTCCAAAAATTAGTTATTTCCTTAGTTTAAGTGTCCGTGGTAACTGAAAATTTACATTTTTTTTGTGCCTTTAATCAACGTTTTTCAGAAAAATCCACACTGAAATGAGTTCTTTAATTGGCATGAAAGGTGTTGAGTAAAAAAACAAAAATTTAATAACAATTCACAAACTTCTTAAAAATGCAAGTTTCTTTACTTTGATTATTTTGACGAGAGTCTGATTCCACCACGCTGCCTCACATTTAAAAACAAACAAACAAAAATCCCCCCCCCCTCCAAAATCCCCCCCAAAAGACTAAAACAAAAACAAATTTAAAAAAATGACACGATTCAATTCTTATCTTTTCTCCCTTTAATGTGTTTTTTTTTGTTGTGTAAAGTGTTTTACGGCGCTCGCAACTGCATAGGTCATATGAGCGCGCGGGACACTCCTAATATTTTCAGTTGGTAGGAAATTTTGAATTTTGCCCAGGTGGCGGCCGAAGCCTACTCTTATCGATTTTAGACCACCAAGGGATCTTTAACTTGCGCAATTTGCA